TCAGAGGCATCAGATCCCCAGAGCTGGACTTAGAGTCACGAGTGGCTTGACTTAGATGCCAGGTTTAGAAACTGTGTCCTTCGCAGGAGCAGCAAGTGTTCTTCTCTGCTGAAGGACCCCTCCTACCCAAAACCCCTCTCTGAGAATTTTTAAGAGAAATTTTAGCACACCATTTTTTCCTTATTTATTTTGAGATGGGGCTCTTATTGCATTGGTCAATCCACAGGACTTTAAATTCCTGGGCTTAAGCAACCATCCTGCCTCAAGGCCTTTTGACTGGCTGGGACTGTGGGCGTGGACTACAATGCCAACCTAAGAAAACATATTGTCTCACATAACAAGTCTTAAGTAGGGCAGCTTCAAAGCTGGTTAATTCAAAGACCCAAGGAGTCTCTTTAATCATTCAGCTTTGCCAAGTTCAGGGTGTCACTTGTGTCCAGAATTTGGCTCCAGAATTCCCAGATGCCACATTTTAGCCTGCAAAGTCCAGAGGGATGTCTTTTTCCAAGGTGATGAAATGTTTCAAAAAGTCACCCAGCACGATTTCTTTTCCGAGTTAGTGTCTTAATAGTTGGCTTGTGACATCAGCCCACACTGAAAACCGTCTGTGGTAGAGGAAGGTGTTATAGTTAGGGCTTCTGTTGCAGCAATAAAACACTATGACCAAAAAAGCAAGTTGAGGAGGAAAGGATTTGTTTGGTTTACACTTCCACATCACTATTCATCACCAGGGGAAGTCAGGACAGGAACTCAAGTAGGCCTAGGACCTGGAGGCAGGAGCTGATGCAGAGGCCATGGAGGGGTGCTGCTTCCCCTGACTTGCTCAGTCTGCTTATAGAGCCCAGGACCACCAGCCCAGGAATGGCACCACCTACCATGTGTTGGGCCCTTCCCCCATCAATCACTAGTTAAGAAAATGCCTCACAGCTGGCTCTCATGGAGGCATTTCCTCAGCTGAGGTTCCTTCCTCTCTGATGACTCTAGCCAGTGTCAAGCTGACACACAAACCCAGCCAGTGCCCAAGGCAACCACAACAGCGTCTGAACATTAACCCCTGAGCTGCCATTGAGCCTTTTATCCAGGTTTGATTCTTGGGCTGAAATGTTTAGTCATCAAAAAAGAAATGGACAAAGGATGCTAGGCCTGCATCAGGACCTAATTTTTTAGGGTACAAAAGACTCATATTTGCTCGGCCCCATTCTGTGTCAAGAGCTCTATGAAACTTCTCTCGCTTAATCCTTATAGTAAGCCAAGGAGAATAAGATGGGAACGTTGTTATTTCCATCTTACTGAGGCCAAACCTGCTTCAGAGTAGTTACTTAAAATATTAAAAGTCATACAAAAATCTAGTATGGTAGTACACCTTTAGTCCCAGGGCTCAGGAGGCAGAGGCAGATGGATCTCTCCGAATTTGAGGCCAGTCTGATCCAGATAGTGAGTTCCAGAGCTACACGGTGGGACCCTGTCTCGACGGAGGAAAAGTCACAAAAGAATAAGCAACAGGGACTGGAGAGATGGCATAGAAAGTAAGAGCTTGGCTGCAGAGGATGTGGGTTCAAATCCCAGCACCTACACATCGGCTCACAGTTGTCTGTAACTGTATTCTGGGGTCTCTGACACCCTTTCCTGGACTTCTTTGGCACTTGGCATCCGTGTAATTCATAGACATACATGCAGTTAAAACACCCAAACACATAAAATAAAAATAAAATGAAGCAAAAGGAGTAAGCAAGACTGTTGTCATTCCAACAGGGTCTGCCTGTCCCCCAAGGTCATGCCTTTTCCAGGTCACACAGGCCCTGTGGAACAGTCTTCCGTCAGTGTGCCCTTTAGGCTAAATCTGTGATAAGATATCTTACGCCTTAGCACACAGTAAAGAATGTCACCTGCAATTACAGGAACAAGCGTGATTATATCGTGCATGCTGTTTCATGGCCTGCCTTACAATAAGTTGGCTGATTTCAGGAGAGAAAAAAATATGGACCTCCTTGTTCTTTTCATTAGGGTTTTCATGTTATTTAACTCTTTTCTCCGCTTAGTAACTAAATAAGAACTTTATGAAGAAGTCAAATATTATCAACCTTTTGCTTAAAATCTGGTAAAAATACAAAATCATTATAGAATAGTGACTTCTCTGTGTTATGTTTTTACGTTTTCCTCTTTCATGGCTGGCGGTTGAACCCAGGGCCTTGCACACGCTAGGAAAGCCCTCCACCATGAACCATGCCTCTGCTGCTGGCTTGCTCTTACTCTTTTGACAAGAGTTCCTCATACTCGCCCCCTCTACTTACACAGTCAGAAAACACTGATTTCCTGATTTTATTTGTATATGCCAACCACACTCCTGCCATAGGGCCTTCACACATACACATGGACAGGACTAGCTCCCTAGACTCCTATACTTGCTTTATAGGCTATGGCTGGTCGGACAAAGCTACTTTGTATACATTTACTTACCTTTCAGCATGTGTGTGTGTCCCGTTAACATGGGAAGAACATGTTAGAAGGCATTCAGTGAAAATCTAAACCCATAGGTTCCTATATCAGTGGGAAACCAATGGTGATCCAGTCCACTCACAAATTCAGTTCTGCGTTTGATAATAAGTCCTTTTGCTGGGCAATGGTGGCACATGCCTTTAATCCCAATACTCACGAGGCAAGCCTGGTCTACAAAGTGAGTTCCAGGACAGCCAGGGTTACACAGAGAAACCCTGTCCTGAAAAACCACACACACACATAATGCTGCTATGTGGAAAATATAGAAATATGATAATCATTCACCTTTTGCTTTTTATTGCTTGAAATTAGTGACTTACTTTGTTAATAATCACGCTATTTATTTATTTGTTTGTTTATTTATTTATTTATTTTAAATCCTCAGGGCTGGGGAATAAAACCTTAGGGCCCCATTTATGAAGATGTTCTACCTGTGGACTACACCTTACCCAAGTCATGACTTTTTTTTTTATTACAAGTGATTCTTACGAGGACAGTGAGATGGCTCAGCCCCTAAAGGGTACTTGTGGGACAATGCCATTCATTTGAGCTCAACCGCCAGGACCCAGATAAAGATGGAAGGACAGCTGATGTCACACAGCCACCCTCTGATTTCTACAGGCACGCCACGGAGTGCCAGCACACACAAACACTAATCATTTTTTAAAATTAAAAAATAATAGCCCTGCCGGGAGATGGTGACACACACCTTTAATCCCAGCTCTTAGGAAGCAGAGGTAGGTGGATCTCTAAGTTTGAGGTCAGCCTGGTCTACAGAGTGAGTTCCAGGACAGCCAGGGCTACAAAGAGAAACCCTGGAAAAAAACAAACAAAACAAAATAAGAACAAACCAATCCCAGGTGATTCTGATGGAATGCTGGCATCTACAAAACTTAATTCAGTCATTTCTCCTTAAAAACAACATGAAAAATTTTTTGTTTTGGTTTTTCTATATACTCTAGGTGACACAGAACTTGATATGTAGACCAGGCTAGCCTAAAAACTCAGAGATTTGCCTGCCTCTACCTCTTGAATGCTGGCATTATAGGTATGCACCAGTGTCAACAGGCTAGGCTCAAAAATTTTTTTTCCTGGTGTGGTGGATTATAAAGTACTTTAGGCATATTTTCCCTCAAAACAGTCATAAATGGAGCAATTTGTTCTGGGTGAGGGACTCCACCCTTTTTGGATATAGATAAAGAAGTTCTCTAAATTATTTAACACACCCATTACTCAGACTGGAGTATTTAATGAAGACACTGTTGACGTGATATGATAATATTTGAATGGGGTAACAGTAAGAGCCAAACAAGACAACTCTTGCATGGAGTAATTGTCCTTTTCTCTTACATCTGGTTATGAGAAAGATACGGGAGGAGCCAGCTTAAACCATGAAGTTAGACTCGGTTTGCCAGTCACCTAGTTGCTCTGTGGTCAGGAAGAAGTCTTTCATGGAAAGTTTGTAAGGCAGGTTGTGACTTCGAGGTCTGTTTGGGGTTGAGTCCCCTGGAGTGAGACTCTTTCGCAAACTAGACCAGTGAGTAAGCCTGGAGGAAGGCAGATTACGTCTCCTTTCTGCCCCAGGGTCGAAGGGACGACGCCGGAACCATTTTTTTTTTTCCTTCTCTTAACCTTAAAACTTCAAAACCTCTTTCCCTTCACGGTCTCTGCAAGGAAATTAATAGGATTTAAGTCACCCCCATCACACCAAGGTGAAAACGACCCTCAGGTGACCCAAAGCAAAGAAAATGTCGCGTTTTAAAAGTTTAGCTGATTGCAAGGACTTTTTTTCAAAGGGAAACGGAGTGTGGGTGAACGGAGAGGTCTACTTGTCCCCACAATTTAACTTGTCCTTTGTAGGTGGCCGTGTAAGGGTCGACGTTTACAAAGTACACTTAAAGTATTGGATTGTCCTGTGATTATGGACTTTGTCTGTTCTCTAAAATCTGAACTTTAGCCATTCACATTTGGGAAGCGCTTTCGCCACGGGGAGGCGGGAAAGAGGAGCGACCGAAGTTCAACCAGAGAGGATGCTTTATTTCGAATAAGCACAACCCAGTTGCTCTTTCCCCACCCACCTCTGCCAATTTATAACGGTCAGGGAGGGGCTAGCCGCACGTCCGTAGGTCTCCGGTCTCGACCAAGCACAAGCCCGATGAAGAGAGTGGCAAAAGTTCTCTGTTTTATTCCTTCCCTCTCCAAAAGTTCCAGTCGCGGGGGACATGAGGGTCCCTGAGGAATTTGCAATTTCCGGGAGGTGGCAGCGGTGGCACTCGAACCCTACAACCCCCACGCCGGGAGCTGCGAAGAGGCCGGGGGGGCGTGGCTAGGGGCCGGGGGCGGGGCCCCACCTGCGCGCGCGGAGCTGGGCTGGGTTCCGCAGCTGCGGCGGCCGGTGAGGGCGGGACCTGGGCGGGGCTTTGGCTGTTCAGGGGCGGGTCCCGTGGTGGGTCTGGGCTTGGCTGCTCGGGGGCGGGGCATGGAGGGGGCGGGGTCATGGCTCACCCGAGCCGGGAGGCGCCGGGAGAGGGCGGAGGAGCCCGCGGGAGGGGCTCAGACGGCGTCTTGAGCGGCGGCCGCAGCTGCAGCTGGACGGCCGGCCGGCGGCTCGGGGCCGCGCGCCGGGAACCTCGCGGGGCGGGCGGGCGCCGCACCCCGGCCTGGCCGCCTGCGCCCCGGGGAGGCCCCCTGCGCGCGTCGGGACCAGCAGCATGAGCAGCGGCTACAGCAGCCTCGAGGAGGATGCGGAGGACTTTTTCTTCACCGCCAGGACCTCCTTCTTCAGGAGAGCGCCTCCGGGCAAGTTCCGTTCGGGTCAGCCGGTGAGTGGCTTGCGCGGGGTCCCGGCTCCACGTGTCTAACACTCCCGCCTCCGCGCTAGTCGGTACTCGCCTGAGGGCTTGCGGGGTGCAGAGGGTGACCTCTGCCCTTTCGGATCCTGAAAAGTGCTGGAAGCCTGTACAGTGGGCGTGGGACGCCCGCGGCGAGGGAAGGAGGTGGAAGGGCAAGGAGCCAGTTGGCCTGGGCCGCTCTGCCGGGGGACGCGGGCTGCGGGATGGCTCCTTCGGCCACCCTCAGGGGCAATGGCCGGGTCCCCGCGCCGTCCTGGCTGCAGTCCGCTCAATTGGCCATGAGTGGCTTGAGGGCACGCATTGGCCCGGGGTCACCGAGCAGCCCCCGCTATGGGCAAGCTGTGGGGCAAGGGGACCGGGCGATCGTCGGGGTTCGCTAAAGTCTAGGTCGCGTTTCCCGTCAGGTCCAGTTTGCGGGTGCTGCGGACGTCCTAGGTAGATTTAGCTCCAGAGGGCTGAGCTTTACGCCGGTTTCTTCCTTTTTTGGAGGAAGGGTGCCGTGGGAAGCGTGGCTTGGGAAAAGACAGTACGGGAACTTGTGCCAGTTTCGCAGATCGTCACAGTGATTATTTTAGTTTTTTTAGAGAAGTCTTCCAGTCTTCCAAACGGGGCACTTTGACCCGACTTGTAAGGTCGGCGCTTGAAACCGTGGCCTTCTGGCCCTGGAAGCCGCACCAGGGAGCCTGGCTAGTCCGGCCATGCTCTCTCCATCAGATTTAGAGACTGCAACGGAACAAACTTGTTGCTTCTAAAACACAACAGGCTCGCACCGGAGGTTTCTATTAGAGCTCTGGAAATGAAAAACAAGAGAAACCAATCTCGTTGAGGGGCCCAGTCATGGTGGGGGTTTTGGTGGAGAGGAACTGCCCAGGTTATCCTTGCCAAACCTTTTAAGTTTAATAGAGTAATTTTTGAAGTAAAATTTTAGGATTTGGAAGTTCTAGTCCTTTTAGTGTATTAAATTTCCAAGCTAAAGGGAAGAAGGAGAAGGAGGGCGGGGAAGGGGGGGGGTGAAGTCAAGTGCCCATATGCCTACCAACAGCTTATCCCCTAGGGACTGGAGTGGGTGCTACACGGCTTTAGCCTCAGATTTAAGGTTGCTCCGTTTACTCGGGCTATCTTTTATTTCCAGCAGAATGTGCTAATGGCATGAATTTGGAAGTCTAAGGCACCCCCTGCCCGGCCTACCCCTGTGGGTCAGAGAGAGAAATGCTTTTCTTCTGGCCTTCTTCGCCTTGTTTTTCTCTTCGTGGTTGGTCTTTATTTCCCTTACCTCTCTGCATTTTTCCTCCACTAAAGAGCTTGTGTACTAGTTTGAAGTGTGGTCCTGAGGTGACTAGCAATTTCCAGAAAACTAGAGGGTTCTTGAATTGTACAGGTGTGAGATTCTCCTCCCCAAGGGCCAGCTGGAATGTTGTGGTTGGAGTTATGTTTGAGAATCCTTCTCTGCTCTTAAAAAAGTTGGAGCAGTGGACCTGGGGATGTAGATCAGGTGGTAGAGAGCTTGTCTGGTGCTCACTGCATAATCTGGGTGGTGGTGGTGGTAGTTCACCAAAGTGTGTGTGTGTGTGTGTGTGTGTGTGTGTGTGTGTGTGTGTGTGGAGAGAGAGAGAGAGAGAGAGAGAGAGAGAGAGAGAGAGAGAAAGAGAGAGAGAATGTTTGTGTGTGTAGGCAGGAAGATAAGCAATCAAGGTCATCATCAAAACACACACACACACACAGAGCCCCAGTAGCATTTCTTTCTAGGATTATATACAGTTACCCAGTTCAGATTATATACATTCACTTATGTAATAGTCATCTAACTGTGTGTATGCGCATATCTGTATATATCTCGCAGTATTGTTTATTGAGCGTCGACATGAGTATGTAAGACCTCGGTTGAAAGAGCCGCTTCCTGGGTTGAGCAGTTCACGGTGTATATTTTGAAGCTCTGTTGCCTGTTTATTCCATCTGGTGTAGCTTGTGCACGGTGCTATTGTAGCAGTTGTTTGATAGTTAAAGAAAGGGTTCTTGTTGGAAAAGGGTTCTGAAGCCCGAATTAATTAATTTTAATTAGTTCATGCAGGTATTTATTTTGAGACACAGCCTTGACTGTCCTGGAACTCACTCTGTAGCCCAGGCTGGCCTCAAACTCACAGAGACCGCCTGCCTCTGTTTCCCGAGTGCTGGGATTAAAGTCATGTGCTACCACGCCTGTCTGAACCCTGAATTTCAGTAGGCATTTTGTTTTATTTAAAGAAGTGACTGTATCTTAAGTTCCTGCTTATGATTACAGGAGCAAAATGAACACTTCTCACATACCCAGTGCCTCTAGAAAGGTGGGGAGAGCCGTTGCCATAAGGATCTATTTATTCTTGAGAGCAGCATCCCCCCCCCCCCCATGTTGTACCACCTGTTGGAAGAACTACCAACTATGGTTTCTGGAACTCTTGCACATAGTCAAAGCAAGCAAGTCTCTGGTGAATACAGGGTGAGGAGAAGGGACTGTGTTGGGGAGGGTCGGGCTTAGACATTTTCTTTCTTCTCTTGCCAGGCAGGGAAACATGATCCAACTTCTTTCTATCCCCTGACGGTAATGAAAAGAGACATAAAGAAAATGGTGTCATTTATTTTCATTTTGTTTTGTACCCTGTTCTTCTTAAAAAAGAAAAAAAAAGGACTGAAGATCTGCGTGGAAAAGACTAGCCTTTTAGGGGGTGCCCTTGTCCCCCCCACCACCTGTACCAGGGCTCAGCTTAGCAGTTGCTCAGTGGATACTGGTTGAATGAATGACTGATTTCCTGGCTTGCTGATATGTCCGGTTCCCTGAGAGCCCTCTGAAGCACTGATCTTAGGAGAGGAGATTGTCGAGTGTTTGTCTGAGGCCCTCACTCAGATGCCAGGAAGACTGGAGCGTGGCTCTTCTAATTCAGATTCCATTTTCATTCTTAGCAAAAAGATAACTTAAAATTCCGTTTTCCCTTGTAAATATGGATGTGTATATATCAAGAATTTCTCAGAAGTTTGACTCATTCTCACACATAATGCTGTTACAGCGTTCTCAATTCTTGTTTGTGGAGTCACCGTGCTTCAGAGGATCTACCTAGGGCTGGAGAGGTGGCTCAGAGGTTAAGAGCATTTGACTGCTCTTCCAGAGGTCTTGAGTTCAATTCCCAGCCACCACGTGGTGGCTCACACCATCTATAATGAGATCTGATGCCTTCTTCTGGCCTTCACGCAAGCATGCAGACAGGACACTGTAAACATAATAAATAAGTCTTTAAAAACAAAAAAGTCAGCTGGGCGGTGGTGCACGCCTTTAGTCCCAGCACTCGGGAGGCAGAGGCATGCAGATCTCTGTGAGTTTGATACCAACCTGGTCTACAAGAGCTAGTTCCAGGACAGGTTGCAAAGCTACAGAGAAACCCTGTCTCGGGGAAAAAAAAAATGTCTGGGTGGTGGTGGCCACCACACCGTTTAGTCCTGGTGGGTGGAGGCAGGTGGAGGCCAGCCTAGGGCAGCCTGGTCTACTGAGTGAGTTCCAGGGATGTCAAAGATACACAGAGAAACCCTGTTCGAAAAATCAAAAAAGAAGAAGAAAAAAGACCCACCTATTCTTAGTTTTAAGCAGAACCAAAAATGTCCACAGCTCTGTAGTTACTAAAATCAAATGGCCTCAAGATATAGAACACAGTCTTGGCCTAAAACTATTAATATGAATTAGCTAAGCTTAGATGCTTTTTTTTTTTTTTTTTTTTTTTGGATATTTTCACAAAGTCCTTGCTGGCCTTCAACTCTCCGTGTAGCTAAGGATGATCTTGAACTTCGTGATTTCGTGATTCTCCCATCTTCACCAGAGTGTTAGGAGTTCTGCCCAATTTTCTGGGGTGCTGGAGACCAAGCCCCAGGGCCCGGAACACCTAGATAATCACTCTAGTACTAAACTCCTTCCCAGCCCTCGTCTTCCCGTCCCCTTTCTTTCAAAGCCCTTGTAGTTAGTGGAATAAGGGACTCTGTTTAAGCTTTGGAAGTGGAAGTGCCCTGACTTCTCCAGAAACATGAGAGGACTTTGTGTACCACCCACGTTGACTTTGGAAAGTTGCGCTGGAGACTGGCTAAGGCGAGCCTGCGCTATGCTACAGGAGCCGCGGTTGGCTTCCTCCACTGGCTCCTTAGTCTTCTGTCGTTGATCTGTGGCTATCTCGTTGTTATGCTTTTTAGACGACTCACTTTCTTAAATTTTATTATTTTTTAATTTTTAATTCATGGTGTATCGGTGCTTCGCCTGCGTGTATGTCTGCATCAGTGTCTGTGGAGGTCAGAACAAGGCATTGGATTCCCTGGAACTGGAGTTACAGTTGGTTATGAGTTGTCATGTGGGTGCTGGGAACAGAACGTTGGTCCTCTGGAATTGCAGCCAGTGCTCTTACCCTCTGAGCCACCTCTTCAGCCTCTGCAACTCCCTTTATTAGTGTTTCCTCTGAAAGTTTTGGTCACTTGGGCAAAAGAATGGTGGGTTATAATATTAGCAGTATTTTAGCTATACTAATTTAATCCTTTGTAACTGAATACAAGTATTCTCATCAGCAGTCTTTTTTTTTTTTTTTTTTTTTCAAAGTTTCGTTGTATTTTATGTGTTTGAGTGTTTGGTCTGCAAGTATTTGGATCCTGCACACATGCTTGTTGTCTGCAGAGGCCAGAGGAAGGTATCAGATCCCCTGGAACTGGAGTTATCAGCATGGACCTACTAAGTAGCTGCTGGGAATTGAACCTGGGTCCTGGAAGAGCAACTGATACTCTTTGCTGCTGAGCCAACCCCCCGCCAGCGGTTTTGCTCGGTGTGAGCCATTTGCACATCTTGCCTGCATGACTGTTCTTACAGTCTTAATCCACTGGGCTTTTGTGATCGCGTCAGCAGAATTCATAACTGCATATTTCTCTAACTGCATTTCAAAAGGAAATCAGTCCCCAGCCTTCTGTAGCCTCGT